GTGACACGTCTTATAGCAATGCGGTTTCATACTCAGCAAAACAGTCACAATCGGGAATAAGTCACGTTCGGTAATTAAAAGATCAGAAGACGTAATGACAAACCACAATCTAACACGTGGTAAAAATGTCCTTAGTTAGTTTTGACAAAGACACATCGTATGGACTAACCAATTCGTGATGGTGTCCGTAAAATTTACGGAGTGTCATTTTTAATCTGTCCTCCTCATAACTTTGTTGGAGCCGTTTCTGCGTAAGGAGCACACTCTTGTATATGAAGTCCGTATAGTGTGAACAAGCACGAGAATAACTATCAATTGAGATATGTAAACACCATACGAAGGGGCAGATGGTATGTTACTGCTGAAAAATGGGAAATTGATAATTGGGAAGTTTAAATCGTCCCGTTTATCATAGATTTTCGTGTGAAGTCGTCCATCTGTGTCAATATTGAGGAAAAGTTCAAGGTATGAAGCAGTCCTTCTAGTATAAGTAGTATCCTTAATTTCAAGTTCACTGGGATATATGAGATGTAAGTATTGGCAAAAAAATGGGTTATTCAATGATAGAACATCATCAATATATCAGAAAGTAAAATTAAAGAATTTCGCAAGGTGCTTTTTCTTTTTGTCTTTTAGAAGGTTCTGAATGAATTCTGCCTCATAGGAGTACAAAAACAAATCGGCCAGTAGGGGTGCACAATTAGTTCCCATTGGAATACCGACTGTCTGTTGAAATATATTGACATTGATCTTGTCTGAACAGACTGGGAACAGCATGGCTGATCATCTTCATGGAAAGTTTCCGTATGAGCACCTAGAATATCAGATTGTCGAAACTTTTCTAAATTTACCCTGCTAGTGTAAGATTTGTAACAGGATTTATGATAATTTCACTTTTCTATATTATCAACATTATCAATTGAACTATACTCATCATGGAGTCTGCGGTACACATTATCTTTCCTTGTATTTACAGCATTGATAAGGGTTTGCTTTCCTTTTGCAGTTAGAGAGGACAGTTTTCCACTTCTTGAAATCTCACATATAATGCAAAAAATCCAGTTGTTTGAACAACGGCTAATTTTTGCTCGCGAATGAGTAAGCTTCAGTGGACTACTAAAAGTCGACATATTCCGGGAATAAACCCTATCCGGTCCAACTTGATTTTTTAGTTAGTAAAGATTTTTAACTAAAGTAAAAAAAACACGGTAAAATAACTATTTAACGCAAAATTAATAAGTCATAAACTTGTATAAACAATGTACAATAAACTTCTGATGCAAAAGTATCAATAAAACAATAATTAAACTACGAACAATACTATGATGAACTATTGAAGCGATTTGTCAACAAAAAAGCAATTTTACTTCGTATCGGATAGGAATTTAAATCCGGAAATTCATTGAACTATAATGCAAAGTTAAAAATCCTCATAAAAGTTAATTTATTAAAAATACTGAGTTTGAGTGGCTTTAAAACTTTACAAAAGGAAGTTTTATAACATTTTAAATCGGAAAATCATGAAATTATCGATGCAATTTAGATTTACAAATGTTGTAACCACTTCGTTAAAATAATACAGAGTGCGCATTCGTCAAACTGAGTAAAAATGGACAAAATTAAGGATAATTATGAGGAATTTAAGTTTTACAATATGAATAAACACTTCAACACTTTATTAAATGCAAAATCATATGCCAAAAGACCAAATTGTTTCTAATGTTGAAATTTGAAAAAAAAATCCAAATGTCTTTTTTCTTTCCATTTTATAAAAAAAAAAATGCACCGCAGAAAAAGGCTTCGACCGGGCATAAAAGTTAGATTAAGGTATTGGCTGTGCAAAAAAAAATCGTTTTTAGCCTGCAGTCATGCTGGTCCATTAAAGTCGTAAACTAAACACCTTTTTCTTGATTTGTCAATCCACTATAAGATGAAAAAGAAAACAAGAAAGAAGATTTATATGAATAAATGGTTTATGGTACACACATTTTAAATAAAAACAGAATATTGAAATTATTAACAACAGTGCAAACCTGTATTGTATATGAAGTCTTTTAAACAGTAAATTTCAGTGATCTTTATGAACTGTTGGTACACTATTTTGTTTGAGTAGTTATACTTATTTCGAGAAAAAATGATCGTGAAAGAATACCTAACGGTGGTCAAGTATTGCGATTGGATCATGAGCTCTGGTATAGGATCGTGAATGAAATGTGATCGAGAAGACATATGCAATGTCAATTACTTATCTAATGTAATGAATTATACGGACAAATTTACAAAAAAATAAAACTGTCTGTCAAAATGGCTCAACATTATGATCTGTATGTGAGAAAAATCAAGGTTTAAAAGTACACCGTTTTTACAAAACTACAAAAGGCAGATTGCTCCTCGACATTCCAATTACATTAAATATGTAAACAAACAAGATGTTTTTCATAATTCGAATGACTAAACATCTTTTCTTCGTAACATATCTTTCCAGTTTAATGATTCAAATGGTTCTAAAAGTTACTTTGTACTTTGCATAATCAGAAATTTGGCACAAAATGAAATATTTACAAAAAATAGATTTTTCGGATCGTGAAAGATCTGATGCTACGAAACGTTCAAATCATTTATTTAGATATCAGTATAGTATAATTTATATTCTTAATTGGTTTAGCAAATACTGGATTTGCATGACTCATTCCGGTTCTCTTTTGTTGGTGAATAGGGTTATTATCGTTCATTGTCATTGGATCTGATTATCTTATAATACACACCGACTAGGCGCCTTACAGCAATATCAGTCTATTTGTCCGTTCTTTATAAGTTTTGATTTCTTATACAAATCTAAGATTGAAAATAAAACTTTAAAAGAGCAAACGATACAGAAAAAAGTAATAAAAATATATACCTTTATGTGCTACTTTTAGAGATAAATGAAGTCGAAATTTTAGACGTTTACTGGAAATTTTGGTTTCTTTGACATTTCTATCCTTTGAAAAGACATACCCAACTATTTTGTTTCAAAACATAAACTCAAGCCGATTTCTGTGAAAGCATCTGGAATATCTTTTCTTCATGAGTGTGCTTTGAATTTGTGTAACAATTCTTTGAATAGTAAAAATTTTTATCACATTTTCATAAATTTTGTCAACGAACTACATTTTTTGCTGAATATCTATCTAATCTAAAAAAAAAATCATCGTTGCTTTTTTCATAAAAATCGGCACAAATAATCTTCATACGTAATCAAGCCAAATATCATTTTTAAAAAGAGGGGTCCATGAACTCGTTTTCAAGTTAAATCAGTCAGAATGGTAAAATCAATCGAAAATGCATCTTTTCTCGATTTGTCAGTTTGACGTCGCCAAAAGTAACATTTTACTTTAGCAACGTCATTACCTCCCTGTAACTGTATCGTATGCCCTTAATCGGCTAAATTACAGTTCAAGCTGGGCATCATGCAGTATCGAGGTACGTTGATTGGTTATTTCCCCACTAAGCTGGGTACAATGACGTATAGCTATTGTGAAGACAGATCAAACAATCAAGTAAATATAACGATATAAATTGGTACCTTTTTGTTAGCGCATCCAAGAAATAAACAATATATTAACAAATTTTGTCATACTATCCTCACGAACGACACTCCATATAATTGAAAATAACCATCCTTACACAAAAAAAATATGTACACATGCATATATTTCCAGAGTGGATGCATTAAGCATTGTAGATACATATATACTTTTTCTTTTCGACAATTTAAGTTCCTGAAGGTCCTCTCATCTTGTAAATATACTTATCTAGACAAGTTTTTAGTTATTTTAATAACTTTTAAGGAAAGGTGTTGAAATAAAAAAAAAGAAAGCATTAATGTTCGTTATTATCAAAATAATACAACTAGTTGCAAGTATATCAATTGGTAAAAGAAATAGAACTTTCAGAGAATATGTGAACATCGTTCCATGACTTTGGTAAATTTTCTAAAGATTACAGGTAAACTATTATAGGTAAAATGCGCAAATGTCTTGTCAATTTTGTACAGTTGTATCAAAGTTTAAAGCACAAATGTTCATAGTGTTTGAAGCGCAAATGTCCTTTAGTGTTACAGGTTAAAAAGCGCAAACGTCCTGCATCAACTAAATTCAATGTTTTCAAAAACAAAATGAACGGTTTCAAAGAAAAAAAAACTTTTATTTTACTGTACCATCTGACACACTAAAGATTCTGTTTCAAATTTATCAATATGTATTAGAATATGACCATTATAGGTACAAAACGTGTTTTCTTTTTAATGAAACTCATAGACTTGTGTAGCGCCTTTTGTGTTTTCACATAAAGTACTGCATATTTTCTCATCTTATTGCACAGTATTATTGAGCAAGTTAAATCATTTTGACAGACACAATTTTTTTTCGGATTTGCTCCGCGTTTTGAAAATACAGCAGATTTTTCATAGATTTTGAAGTAGATTTACAATTTATTTCATTCACGATCCGATCGCAATGCTTGACCACCGTTATGTATTCTTTCACGATCTTTTATCTTGATATACCGAATGACAGCCGAAAGAGACTACAGACAATAAATGTCGGGAATTAATCAACTATTGTAATATAAAAAGCAGAAACACAACCATACTGTTTTACGTTTACTTCATATATATTCTGAATCCTAAGACTACGTCCTGCACTGACGTCAACCCTAGATATAATATGTAACGCGACGTCGTAACTCCCGCGGTATTCTCAATACTCTCCAACCCCATAGCTGCAGTTGAAATTCCGCGAATTATAACGACGCTTGCGGTCAAATAGTTTCATCGAGGGCAAATAGTTTTTTTTTTTCTTAAAACTAAATTTTATTAACATATTTACATTTGTTAATAGATACATCAAATATTGGTACCGTATCCCTGCCTCGTTATCATTAGTATAGAACATTTGTTATGGTTAATTGTGATATTACACAGATTTTAATTAAACCGGATATAATTTATGTCTTCACCTGAATGATTTTTTATACTAGTTTCTTTGTTTACAAAATAGCTAGATAACACGTGTAGTGCTTTTTGGAATATACTTTAGTGTATTATCTAAGGAATTTTTCCAAAATATTTGTTTTTAAAGGATTATTAATATATGCAGTTATGTTTTTCTGTTGTAAATATTCGTTTGAAATTCATATGTGTTTTACAAAATATGTCTACAGTAAAATCGGATGCTATTTCATCAGATTATTCAGTTGAAGGTAATTTTCATTTACTTAGTGTTCTTGTCGTACTAGATTTCTTATATCTTGACTTATATCTTGAATAACATTAAACTGGTAAATATTTAGTGGACAACAACAAAAAGCGGCGAACAATATAATGCAAATAATAACGCAACAAGAATAAAACTACTGTTGTATAAAAATAGTCAAATCTCTAATCACAATTGATAAACACTATAATACATGTATGTACATAAACAGGTAAACATACCTGTACAATGTATGAAGACAATTACAGTATACTCCCAATATTTGAGTGAGGTATTATTTTTTTCAGAGTCATCATTCATAATATCATGTTTCAAGCTTTAATAGTCTGCCAATCTTACATGTATATCCTAAAAAGTTTCTTGTTTCAATATAATTTCTGATCTCTTGTCTTAATATTTTGAGTGGTTGAACATTTTTATTTTTTTGTCAGACATATAGTATACTTTATATATGGTGTAACTGATAATAGTTAAAAGTAAATTAAGTTCATAATACTCTTTATCATATATTTTATATCCAAAAGATATGTTTTTTAGATTAATAACATGTCTTCCAATATCTAATTTCTCAATAATTTGTTGTACTTTTTTTCCAGAATAATTCAAAATATGAACATTTGAGGAAGAAATGTTTTCATAATTCTCTATTTTTTTACAGTGTAAGCAAGTATCTGTTTCTATTATATGCCATTGTTTTAACAATTTATTACAGGGAAGTATATAATGAAGCAGTTTCCATCTAAATCTTTTATATCTATTATCATCTAAAAATGTAAAGATAAATTTTAATGTTTCATATGCTAGATAAGTATTTTTTAGTGTTACATATGATTTCCATTTTAAAAAGTCAATGGGTGTTTGTATTTCCTTTGTTTTAAGTAAGAAGTTATAAATGTCACGATTATTTAGGGTTTGAATAGGTTTTTTGTTTATGATGTTAAGATTTTCTTTTATATTTATATTGACTTTAGTATGTTTAGATGGTGAGTTTTTGATGATATTGGTCAGCTGTTTTGGAATAGCTTTCTTCAGTTTTGTAAGCTCAGCTATCCAGTTTTCCTTTTTTTTAGTTTACTTAGTATGATGTGTGAGGATATGTTTCCGTCTTTATCTAATAAATCATTTATAACCAGAATGTTGCTTTGTATCCAGTTTTTAAACAGTAAACATTTATTGTTGATGTTAATGTATGTATTGCCCCAAATTATTTATTTCCTTATTTCCCAAAACATGGTAGGCTTTTGTTTAGTTTTTTTCTTTTGCTTTAATCCAGGTCTTTATTAACTGCAGATAAAACTCTGGGATTTGTTTTATTATATTTTTTTCAATAATATTTATATTGTCTATACTCATCTTGAATATTAAGAAATTATCTCCCATCTTATCCAGAAAATATTTTGGTATTATCTTCCAAGTTTGTTCAGCATTTTCTTCAAACAATAATTGTTTAATCCATTTGAGTTGAATTGTTGATATATAAATATCTATACAAATCATTTTTAATCCCCCTTCCATATAATTTTGTGACAAAGTATCTCTTTTAATCATATCTCTTTTCCCATTCCAGATATAGTTATATATCATAGTTTTACTGTTTTGTATAAAGTCTTTTGGTAATATCATATTAATCGCTATATAAGTTATATTTGGGAGTATAAGAGACTTTACTACAGTTATTCTTCCTAGCATACTTAGCTTTCTTTTTGACCACATACATAATCTTTTCAATTTTATCAGCTTGCTTTTGACAATTAAGTTTTTGACACTTTTCTTTATTATAGCCTAAATAAATGCCTAAACTTTTTATTGGTACTTTCGTCCAATTGATTCTTTCAAATTTATCTTTAGTATGTTTAAGTCTACCTAGCCAAATTCCTTCAGTTTTAGTTCTATTTAATTTAATCCAGAGAATGAGCCAAATGTTTCTTTTAAGTTCATGACTAAAAATATCTGTCACCAAGGTCCAGAGCACTGTTAGATAAGGAGGAGCTAACTCGTATGTACTCGAACCAAAGGACAGGGGGTCAGTCTATCGCTAGACTTAATGTTCTGATAGGCATAGCTAAAACGCAAGGAAGGTTTTTATAATTTAATCAACGATAACAATTTAGATGAATGATGATAACAATCAATTAGTAAACAATGCCAAATAAATAATAATTAACGTACAAAGTATCAAATCTAAATATCAAATCCAAAGTAAAACTATTTCTCCTTACAATGTAAAATGTAAAATAAATGCCAAAACTACTAAATCATAAAATGAACTTAATCTCAAAATCAAAATGTATAGTCTCAAAAATAAAAGATTCTCAAAAGTATTTTCCAAAGTTAAACTACATGTATGAGTCAGAGATAAATTTTGTCTCAACAATAAACCGTCAACTATTTCAGATATTGTTATTATTTGAATTACTGACACCTAGTTGGAGAGACCAACATACCATTGGCATTGCTTAGGAAAAAGTTTTGCAAAATTTGTTTCAAAGATATATTATTCAATCATTTCAATCAAGTTGCTCATTGAATCATTGTAGTGATAATTGAGTAGTCAAAATGTGATAATTGACCCCCATCCCTATATGTCATAATTTGAAATTATCATAGTATTCAAACTTTTCATTTAGTTACAATGATTTAAAATTCTCTGTACTGAAAATACACGTTTGGAAAATATCTTACAAAGATATCAGGCTTATCATTGTGAAGGCCAGACGCGCATTTCGTCTACAAAAGACTAATCACAAAAGTTAAAAGGCAAAATAGTAACGAAGTTGAAGAGCATTAGTAGTTATTACAATAAAGTTAACGTTATCATGATATGTTCAACCTTCTACCACATAAAATTGACCTTTAGTCCCTAGAAGTCAGATTTTAGGAAAATCACATGATTTGAGACTAGTTTGTAAAAAACTACATTAGACTAAATCTGTTAGAGACTGAAGTTTCTGAAAACAAGATTATTTATTAGTTTAAAATGGCATTAAATAAGCTTTTGAGAGTATTCCAACAAGTTAGGAGGAAGAACGACTTGAATTGACCCTTCATATGTTGTACGGTCACTATCACGAATCGGTCGAGCAATGCCATTTGTTGATGTCTCAACTCATTAGCGACATATTGTTTTTGGTCTTAGATCTTTACACACCAGTATAGTCGTCTGGTATGTAATTTAACCGATTTGGGACCTATACCCGATTGTGACAATTTTGCTGAGCGTGTATTCGCATGGTGGATGATGCATGCATAACAGGAGACTCTTGTCCTTTCGATGCACACAGTCGCGCTATTTTGTAGTTCATAAGTTCATACGGTTCCCTCAGGTTTCTGTTTGTTACCTTTATTTTCGATTGATTCATAATCTATTACGAGATCTGAACATCGGTTAACCACTGTCGTTTTAATCTGATTTGGTCGTCCAAATGTTTAATTCAAGCCCATTGAAATTCGAATCTGGCGTAATATATTATAAGTCTGGTATCTTTGATTAGTGTTTTCTCATTGTGAAAGGCCGTCTGGTCATCTTTGTTTGCCGACATCCACGTACTTTGGTCAAAAATGGATATGCGTCTCATTGGCAATCATACCACATTTCTTTATTATTATTTTTGATAGCTGCAATATTTACGGTACCAATTTTTCTGCATCAGGAATCATTTCACAAATCATCTTACGAAAATACTCGTAAGTCTTGAACATTTCAGAGTAACTTACGAGAAATTTTTATCATTACATTTTTGTGAATAGGACCCCAGATGCAGATTTCGTCAACAATTGTCTCTTTAGTCATGCCAAAATATTTAATATTCCGAAACCTAATAGAAAAGTTGAGGGGTTGTTTAAGCAAATACAAAAACTAAATATGCATATGTCCATCTGTGAATACTCAATTTGAAAATAAATTCTCGCACAATTCAGGTAAAATTAGAAGTGAATTAAAACACGTCAGATGTCGTTAGTTAGGTAGGGACTGTTTATCCTATTGAGCACTGAAGTTTAATCTTTGTATTGATTCGAAAGGGTGTGTGTTTTAGTCTTTATTTAGGTTTGCATGTTGTATATTTAAAATTTTTTGTTTCTTTGTGTTTTTTTTTTTTATTTCATGATACTGTGTATGCTTTTTCATGAAAACTATGCTTTCGTTGAACAATGTATGCTGTATAGGTTACACTTCTGTAAATATAGACAATGTAAATTCCCATAGGAACTCCTTTTACGGCTAAAACTGTACCACTTTTACTATGAAGTTTCGAAATATATCCTAGAATGGAAAGCTCATATGCACTACTATTCTTTTTCAAAGGTCAAAATATAGGGCTGTGCGGCATATTTTCAACATATTTATGCACCGAACTTCTAAGAGTTTAAACTTATAATTTAACTCTGTACTATACCTCCCTTCACTTTTGGTCTTCATTAGAATTCAATTTCGCCGCTATCCAAGTGTATTTATACTGGTAACATTCCCAAGTTATGTCTCTACGAGATTAAATACAAGGATCATATCAGGGAATTAGTAGGTAAAAGAAAATATCTATTAATATTATATTTCTCCCCTAAAGAGGCGTGGTTTGTGAAACAGCTTTATTTACAAAGTACCACCTATAAGGGTTAGAAAAGTTACATTTAACGATGGTTTACAAATTTGGAAATGTCTCTTAAGGTAGTTCAGGGGTATACCACCATCTTGAATTGCACAGTACATAATAGGTCTAGTTCTTTGCCCGAATCTGCAAATTTGGAGACAGATTTGCAATTTATTGGTTACACTGTTTATTCATATGAAGAAAACTTAGTGATTCATTGCATTATCGAAAATGTTTTAACTAATACCAAATATTTGTGTTTTTAGAATCAATTTTTCAAATAAGCCATTTAAGGGGAGATAACTCTTTTAGTACAAAATTTATACTTTACATATAGGGAAATTTTCATTTTTTACTGGTAGCAAGAAAACAAGTTCGGTGACATCATTTTTTCTTTCTATTTTCTTAAAATATATTATAAAACCTATCTTCTCATATTTTATTTCAAATTCTGTCATATAGATTTCTATTTATGCACAAAAATGTGTTTTTCTTTCATGAACAGCAAATTTTGGCAATTTTGAACGACTCGTACCTTGAAAAATAGTGCGGTGACCCATACTTTTTATTGTTGTTTTGAAAAAAGCATAGTAAAATCTTCATTTTGGCAAAGTATAAGAAAATTCTGTCATTTTTTTTCTATACCCCTGAACTACCTTAAGCTAAACAACAGATTATTTTAGCTATTGTATAATGCCTGTTTCGATCTCATTGATGGATTTACTTAATATCAAGAAAGTACGGTCAAACTATTTTACTCAAAGTTGACCTTTGATGAATTTGGTTTTTTGTTTAGGACCCTATTGGTCATATTATCTAACATTTCTACGCAATTATATACATACCTGAAATTCATAGGTTTTAATAGTTTTGAGTTTGTTGATGAAGGTAAGACAAAACGCTTCGAGCACACTAAATCTATGAAGTGTTAATTCGCCACTTTATCAGGAAGTGCTGAGTCTTTCAATCTTTGGTTTTCTTTAACAGTTGTTTATGATTTTGTGTTGTGTCAGGGTGTTGTTACTTTCATCAAATTTTGAATACATGTATTTTCTTATATTATTAGAGCACATACTTGATGGGCAGCTAGTGTTGTCTAATGTAATTATTTTAAAACTAGTATTATACAAGTCATATAGAATATATATTACAATGCAATAATGGTTCTACACATTTATCGTATTTCACAGATAATAGAAAAACGCAGATAAATTGATAAAACATGCCTTCAACATTTTTAATCAAACACAAATCTGGCGGAAAGTTTATACATCCAAAAGGTGGACATCGTAACCCGGCTAATGACACAAAATTGGTTCTCCATCAAGATATACATGACAGGATGTATTTTCAGTTTGATGTTCAGGAAAGTCACTGGGGTTACATTCGACATGTTAGCAGCGGAAAAATTGTTCATCCTGATGGAGGCCATTTGTTTCCAGGTAATGGTACCAACCTTGTTCTTCACTCAGATTATCATGCAGGCGCACTTTTTGCACTTGATAACGTTGATGATTATATAATTCATAAAGGGGGTAGATTTGTTCATCCAGACGGTGGAAGTCCAAATCCCTGTAACGACACATACGTGGTCCTGCATGAAGACAAACACGATGCTATGAAGTTCCAATTTGTTTCACCAGACGACATCAATAAAGAAGTCTTGATCTATGGAAAAACATCGGTTAATGGTCACTGGAGAATAATTAATACAATCATAAATCCAATGGCAGAACATACATATACCATATCGTTCACCGTGGGAAAGTCCAAGACGGAAAGCAGGAGTTCAGCTTTTGCCTTTAAATGGGAGATTTCCTGTGGGTTTTCAGCTAATACTGCATTTGGATCTGCCTAAGCGTCAATGTCAGCTTCCACAGAATATATGATAAAGAAGGCACCATCAAATACTTGGTCGGAGCAAAAAACCGTAACCAATCAAATCAAAGGTATTATTTTTGTTACTTGTTTACAATAAAAACAATACTCAGGTGAAAGGAAGAGGTGTGATCATTATTTCTTCACTGAAATAGGTAAAACTATTAAGTTCTTCAATTCTTTTAAAGTTATGTTTGATGTACTTCTAATTGTATAGGTTAATATATAGTATGGGCAATTTAATTTGAATAAAATGGGATGGAAGTGTTACGTCATAAACATGTAGATATTTAAGTGCTAACATGGTGGTAGATGCATGCATAGCAGACCCTTATCCTGCATCGTTTCTTTTGGAATCATGTGATTCATTCAGTTTTTGTTTGCTACATTGATTTGTCTTTTTAACCAATTTATGAGATTGGAACATCTGTAAACTGCTGTTGTCTTAATTTTCCCTGAAAGGCAATTTTACACAGTTTATTGTAAATAAGTTATTAGCAAAGAAATTTTAGTACCCAAATTCACATAGTTGTATAATACATTTGCACAAAATCTCTTTTTGGTTTAAGATGTGGCTCAAATCTAAATTTTAATGACAAGACATCAAAATTAAGGTTTTGAAGTTTTGCATGAACTGCAAGAAGTTTTCAGCCGTTTAGCAAATTTGTGAGTTTCAGTTGAAATTTTAAATACTGATATTCGATGAACTAACGCAAAATGTAATTTGATAGAATTACAATATTTTTTCTTTTCGGGGTCAAGGGCTCAGAAAAGTGGCCTTATCATACATACCCTTTCCTATGAAAACATACTAAATACTAAATACTTATTCCGTTGGTAAATGTAAAAATCATTATGAAACTAAGTTCGAATTTCCTCTGGCAAGTTCTGTTTATATTTCTTTATGTTTTTTTTAAGGATGTATGCGACCCCGGCTTGGTTGTGAGCAATCCTAATGAATATAAATCCAGAAAGCGCTTTGAAAGCACCAAATTTTTTAACTCTTACTTTTACTTTCTAGCACTTGGTTGATTACCCTGCTTGTGGACTGTTAGACAACGAGAGTATAAACAGCCCATTAGTGCATAATTTATAACATAATTTTGTTTTTGATTTTCAATTGGAAAATGTAGAAATCATTACGGTACTTAGGTCGAACCTCCTCTATGTAACTCTGACTTTAGATGGTTAAGATATTATGTTTATTGCAAAATATTTAAGTTGTAATATAATTGCCAAAGAGACAACTATCCACCAAAAACAAAGAACGCAGATGTAATCAACCAAAGGTGAACGTACGGCATTCAGCAATAAGCAAATTCATTATGAAAGGCACCGGTTTAATAGAATGTGACATGAATTTATGTTAAAAAGAATAACGACAACCAATGAATTACATGTTCCTGACTTGGAACATGCAAATGAACATGCAAATAACTAAGGTGACTTGGTCAAACATGTGTGTGAGCGTTAAATCTTCCCTTTAATGGCACAGTAGATAAAAAGCATACCATAAGATCAAATTGTAAAACTCAGTTGGAAAGAGTTTAACTCGTCAGATCGTCACGAAGCACAACTAACAAAAAGATTTACGACTCAGAGTACCGATCTAAGTGTACTTGCCGTTACTGAAAGCTAGTTCCATGCACGTTACAACTAACAAATACCTATTTTTGTTCGTAAACAAAATATCCATTATTAAACAACTAATGGATGTAGCGTTATTACTTCATAAATAGTCTCAGAATAGCATGATCTTTTTGTAATGTCAAAATATAAGTATTGACAGGATAAGTGTTCATAACTGTTTAGCAAGAAATGTTTAGTTATGTTTTAATTTGTTTCAAAAAATCAGTGTGAGAACTTATACAGACAATATAAGGTTCCTTTTGGTTATATATCTTCTCGAGCATTTATACATCACAAGTTTTTAATCGAGCGTTCCTGACGACGGTAAATCCTGAAAACTACTTCGGACACAGAACATTTATGAGGGGTTGATATCGTTTTCATGCAATTAACAAAAATGAGATTAATTGACCTGATGATTTAGCGAATTTCCAAAAATAATTAGGAAGAAGAAATAAAATGACGGTATAACCTCTTATTTATGCAATGCTGATCAACTAATCTTTAAAAAAAAATCGCCGGTTTAATTTTGTAGGAAGTTGAATATGACTTTTGTACTAATATTCTTTAATTATTTTCGTGTTCATCATTTATTCTGCTTTTAGTTGTTCCAGGAAAGTCTGTAGTAACATGGCAGTATGTATTTGATGTTGCCCAGTGTGATCATAAAGCTATCTTCCATAGCAACATTCTGGCTGACACTGATGACGTATCGAATGAACCGGAAGACTTGGCTGGTGTTGCATATGATTAAAACAAGCGGATTAAAATAATTGTGCATTCATATAAAATCATTGAAACATTTTAAAATTAATTACTTATTTATTATCTAACATGATTATGATAAAACAATAATTCAGCTAGAACAAAACCTTACACTTTCTATGATATATATATATATATCATATGTGATGTGATTACAATTGACATTTTTATAAGTAATAGTTGTAATTATGAGTAATGGTTGTAATTACAGTGTATAGTTTAACTTGTACTAGTTTATTTTCATTTATAGGCAGAAATTAGCATTTCAGAGTGTTTATTAGAAGATGTATGCAAATAATCCTATAACATATGAAGGGTAAAGAAAAGTTTTGTTTTATTTCGCTGTCACTTGAAATCGTAATTTCTCTTTTTAATTCTAGCGTACATATAAGAAAAAGCAGAACGCCCAAATTCAATGTGCTTAACGACAAAATTAGGTGTAAGCAGTGACATGTAAATCATAGAATATATATTTTGTTTCTTTGATTAGAAAATTTAATACCTCACAACTGATATCAAATTTTTCACGATCAAGTCATTTTAGTTGAAATAACTTTTTATGGTACGTTTGTTAAAATAGTTCACTACTCAACAATAATTCAGTTCCGGAAAATTTTCATTTTTGTTTTTCATAAAATGTCTTATTGAATCTGCGCCTTATAAACGCTATACTTAGGAAATGTTATCGATTTATGGTTATGGATTGATACATATTGACACTTATTTATGGTTTTTCTTGCTTAGATAGAGACTAGTAAAGTACCATTTAATAATATCTGTTGATAAACGAAAAAAACAAAAACAAAAAACAAACACCAGTGTTATTAAATTGTTGAAAAATGTAACTGTTAATGTAATTTAAGAATGAAAAGCATATCATTATAACCTTGCAATTTAATAACACTTATTGTCAGATATTTAAATAAATTCAGGGTAGTATGGTGTTATATTGCACAAAATTGAGCAATTTGTATATTGTCTTCGTTTTAGTTAAACAATCGTAAACAAAATAAAACACAAATTAAGATAATAGATGTATTTTCCAAGCAGAAAAAAATACGTTAATTTTGAGTTTCTAAAATTTCTAAAACAAAAATGTAACCAGATGTTTAAAGACAATTATGAATAAGAAAAAAATTATACACGTGCAAATTTTATTTGTCTAGCTATTGCATGATTTTGCCATCAATTTTTTTATGAATAAAATTAGTCTTCGCAGTGTTTTTTGCACTTTTGTGTTGACATAAAATATCATTGATATATAAAAGTAAGAAAATGTGGTATGATTGCCAATGAAACAAATCTCCACAAGAGACCAAATGACACAGAAATTAACATCTATAGGTCACCGTACAGCCTTCTACAATGAGCAAAGCCCATACCGCATAGTCAGCTATAAAAGGCCCCGAAATAACAAATGTAAAACAATTCAAACGAGAAAACTAACGGCCTGATTTATGTACAAAATAATGAACGAAAAACAAATATGATATACAGCAACAAACGACAACCACTGAATTACAGGCTCCTGACTTGGTCATTATCTGTTATTATCTGTTAATTAACACAATTATTTCCCATTCCAAACTAAAAGTCAAATTGGAAGAATTGGTCCTGCTTTATTTCATAAAAAGAATGGCTAACGTAGATACAACTATCCTGTAGTAAGGAAGGACACATAGTTCTTTGTAAAAAGACGCTCTGATTCAAACAAAAATCTACAACGAATCTATCCATCGAATTTGAAAAGGATACATAAGTATATCAACAATACTAAACTTTAAGGTAAATTCAAAAGGGGCAAGGTCCATACAAAATAAAACGTTAGACTTTATCAACCAACTGACATATTTCTTACATGACACAAGCGTTTTCCTAAGAGAATGGTGGATCAAACCTGGTTTTACAGCTAGCTAAATCGCTCACTTGTATGACAGTTGTTTATAGTTCCGTTATATTGACAAAATTGAATGAGCAACCCAAATAGATATAATAGTTTAATATGATTATTATTGGGATCCAAAAGTCAAAACTGCGTAATCATACATCAAATACATACAACACGACTGATTAAAATCTTTAAACAAACATACAAATAAATTTAACAAAGAAACCAACCAAAAAGTTTTGTAGTTGATAGTACAAACAGTATATAGTATAAATAAAGGCAACAGTAGTATACCGCTGTTCGAAACTCATAAATCGATAGAGATAAAAACAAATCCGGGTATACTTTTTCTCGATAAACTACAAATTATTCAAATATTAAGAAATGGGTAAACGATATGAAAACAACACTGTAAAAACCTCTTGTGTCCGAATCGCACTTTTGGATCCAACTGCACCAGGAACGCCCAAAATTACAAAACCCGATAGGTGGATTCATAAATACCGAGTCACTTAAAGAGTTATATGATCAAAAGGAACACAATAGCACAAAGGAAAATAAAGGGCAATCTGTAAAGTAAATAAAATGATACACAACTTCAGCACCTAAAATCTATAATTCAAGACAATCTTGGGTATTATTTGTGAAGTAAACACTGAATATTTCTCTGTTAGGTCGTGGTACTTCCCGTTGAACGTTTTGAGAAAAAAGAACTAGATGCTCGTTGACGTTACCCTCATCGGAATCCATTATCATTCAAGTTATATGTTCCAATGTTTGTGTTGTGGCTCTCTCAATTTGGGATATTTCGGAAATGTGCATTTTGAATTATGTTTAGATTACCAGTAATTACATGGTTAGATGGCTTATAAATATACGGAGAGTAAGAACAGACACATGTCAGAAGGTTTTTCAAGTATTCTCCTTCATCAAGATCTTGGAATGCTTGTGTAATGTTAATATTTTAGGTGCAATGGTTCTGGTGTAAATATGGGAGACAACAGGAACCGATTAATTTTGAAAAAAAGCTGAATTTTAGATTTACTTCTTTTGGATGAAGAACGTTGATGATTTCAATAGCATTGATTCTTTTTCTTTTTAATAATTTTGAAGGAATTTACTATTGTTACTTGTTTAAAAAGACGAAAAATAGCTACATCACATATTATACTCATACTGTATATTGCGTAAACATTTACATACACCCTTTGTCAAGTGCATAGTCTCTCAAACGTCCATGATCCAGAAATTATCTCTATCTGTTCGGAAAAGAATACTCAGTAAAGGGCTATTAGAATAGTGGTGAATATTTTCAATGATGTGTACTTTGATGGATGGAGGAGGATCATGGTCCGATTAATTAAAATGGTTTTAAAGTCTACTAAATAGTGGATTTTTATTATCATACCGGTGTAGGTTCATCCTTTTTCGCAATGTTTGTCGAGTTTCACCAACATGCAGTAGCCTACACAAGGTACACACTATTCCTTAAAATACGTTATCAGTGGAACAGTTCAGAGACTCAAATAATTTTGTGTAATAGGTTTTACCTGTTAAATAACTAACGAACTCTGGTAGTGATTATCATATTGCATGTTTAAACATGTTTAACATGCGCCTTTTTGTTCTGTTGTATGTTGGCAATTTGAAATAATGGGAACCGATTCACTAGATAGGGGTTTAAACAGTCAAAAATATCAAAAGTACATGGTTTAATTTTTTAAAAGGTATCCAAATTCTTAAAGTAATAATTACCTTTTAGCTGTATATTATTTAACTCGGGTGTTTACCGCAGGATATTCGATGCAACACACAAACGAGTGTACAGTGTTCCGTGTAGCAATATAGGGGATATGGTAACACTGGCGACGTTCGAGTCGGTATATTCGTTGTTTTGTTGTCAATCATACATAAAGCTAACAAGTTTATGATGCCATCGGGGACAAAATCTACCAGCAGAAAAGTTTCTTCTAGGACGATACTTAACTTTGACTTGGTAAATACAACATATACAGTTCGCTTCATATCTTGAATTACATCTAGAAATTTACAATAAGGGTCGGTTGAGAACAGAACTTTACGACAAAAGAGATGATTTCAGCTTCCAAAATATTAACTTTCCATTTCTATGTAGCAACATTCCAGCAGCGCCTGCATACGGAGTATGTATCTCCCAGTTGATACGAAATTCCAGGGCTTGTATTTCTAATCATGATTTCCATGATAGAGGGTTGTTCCTCACAAGGAAGTTATTAAACCAAGAATTCCAAGTGGTGAAGTTGAAATCATCCCTTCGTATATTTTACTGACGCCATCACGAGATGGCTGATCGTTATGGAATATAGAAAAAGTGATACCAGACCATTTGGTTGAAGTATTAAGAAAGGGATCCGAGGGTCTCACTCTTAAAAATAAAGAACAATTGAAGGATTTTTTATGTTCATATCAGGATGTATTTTCAAAATCCTCCTCAGATATCGGTTACACGGATCTGATAAAACATAAGATACATACAGGGGAGGCAAAGCCAATAAAGCAAAGACCTTATAGGCTACCTTTGGCAAAATGGGATACTGCCCAGGTAGAAATAGAAACTATGGTTTCCCGAGGCATCATTGAACCCTCAAGCAGTGCTTGGTGTTCACCAGTAGTGATGGTCACAAAAACGGACAAGAGTATCAGGTTCTGTTGCGATTTTAGAAAATTAAAATCTATTACTCTAAATGATTGTCAGCCATTGCCTCGAATAGATGATACCCTAGACGCTTTGAGTGGAAACAAATGGTTTTCTACTCTTGATATGAGGTCAGGTTATTGGCAATGCGGTCTGGAGGAGAGCGACCGCGAGAAAACTGATTTTGCTATCCCAGGAAGTGGTTTATGGCAGTTTAAAGTTATGTGTTTTGGACTTAGTGGGGCCCCGGCCACCTTTGAACGGTTAGTGGAAAGAATATTTTCTGGCCTAACCTGGAAGATCTGTCTAGTTTATCTAGACGATATAATCGTGTATTCAAAAGATTTTGGGGAACATCTTCGTAACTTGGGGAGGTTTGTGAACGCTTAGGGCAAAACAATTTAAAACTACATCCAGGCAAATGTGTTTTGACACGGAGTGAAGTTACGTTCTTAGGTCATAGGGTGACTCAAGATGGTATATGCACGGACGAGGCAAAAATAAGCGCGGTGCGCGATCGGCCTGTACCTAAGAATGTCAAAGACACACGAAGTTTTATAGGATTTTGTTCCTATTACAGGCGTTTCGTCAAAGATTTTGCTACGATTGCAAAACCCTTACATAAATTAACTGAAAAAGGTAGCAAATTTATTTGGACGGATGCTTGTCAAGAAGCATTTGATACACTTAAAGAATTGTTAGTAACTGCCCCAGTGCTTGGTTACCCTTTAAACATGGGAGAGTTCACTCTTGACTGTGACGCTAGTTTTTATGGGATGGGGGCCGTGTTATCTCAGAAACAAGATGGTACTGAAAAACCCATTGCTTATTATAGCAAAACATTTTCAAAATGTGAGAAAAACTACTGTGTGACTCGTAAAGAACTTCTTGCAATTTTACTTGCAGTGAAAAATTTCCATCACTACCTTTATGTTCGCCAGTTTATCGTACGCAGTGACCATGGGTCACTCCGGTGGTTGATGAATTTTAAAAATCCGGAGGGTCAACTTGCTCGTTGGTTAGAAGTTCTCGGTGGATACAATTTTACCATAAAACATAGGTCTGGGCGAATTCACTGTAATGCTGATGCCTTGAGCCGACGACCTTGTCCAGAAAATTGCCCTCACTGTTCCAGAAAGGAAACTCAAGCCAACATATCTGTTGTCGGAGGTATAGCTCAAGACACAGAAACAGAAGTTACTGTTGAGCAGTTGAAGAACTCTCAATCACAGGGGCAAGAAGGCGAGAGTTTTGGAAAGAAATCACACGTGTTAACTGATAACATACACAAGGATGTATTTAACGATGATAAATGCGTGTATAATAACACGTTTGTTGAGTCAAATCAAAGTACACATATCGAAGCATTCTCAGTTAAAGAGTGCCTGTGTACTAAGTCAGATAACCCAACGCTTCTGGTGGACAACCGAACAAAGGGCTCATTTCAAGATCTGCCTTCAGATACGATACTTAGACCAGCACGAGAAATATCAACCGGTGTTTGTTGGTCTGAGTTGATCCATAGAAATCAAAGTGACCCTGAAGTAAGAGCGGTTCAGACCAGAAGCATGGGAAAAACAAAGTTTTAGCTCAACGGTGATCAAAGTCTGTCTTTCGAGTATGACGACTTAAACAAAAGAATTGACTTACAAAATGCACAAGAACAGGACAGTACGTTGACAATTATTCGTAAATTGGTTGACAGTTCGTCTAGACCAAAGTGGTCAGACATTTCAAAATTTAGCCCAGAGGTAAAATTCTATTGGAATCGGATTGATTCCTTTGAAATCAAGAATGGACTTTTGTATAAGAAATGGGAGAGTGACGATGGGGATACTGTTTCATGGCAAATAGTAATACCTGATAATTTGGAAGAGGTCATCCTTAAACATTTACACGACAGCGCTATGGGTGGTGGTCATCTTGGGGTTAAGAAGACCTTGAGCAAAGTTCGGCAGCGATACTTTTGGTTTGGTTTGAGAAAATTTGTTGAACGCTGGTGTCACAAATGTGATGTATGTGCAAGTAGGACGTCGCCTGTTTGTAAACCGAAAGCCCCGATGCGCAAATACAATGTCGGTGCCCCGCTTGAAAGAGTAGCAATAGATATAATGGGTCCCCTCCCAATTTCTGATCATGGAAATAAATATGTGTTAGTGATTGGTGATTATTTCACCAAGTTTGTTCATGCGATTCCTATCCAGAATCAAGAGGCAGAAACGGTTGCAAGAACCTTTGTTGATAACTTTGTAGCAATTTTTGGTGTCCCTATAATTATGAAAATATGTAATTTGATCTCCCCAAATTGAGTTTGCCAAAGTTGTCTTAGTGTATAAAAATCATCTAAGACCGTTATTTTTCAGGTTTTCAGATATTGATCCCAATAAAATTTTGAAATATAAAATGTGTTGTTTCTTTGTGATAATTATCAATACCCAATTATAACAATATATTTCATTTTTTTATTCACCAATGTAACATAATATTACAAATTCATTTCTTTTTAATTGTACATAATAAGCCCCCCTGTCAGAGTTCGCGAAAACTTATTTTGACCCGTCGGTCATGGGACCGACAAAGCATGATTATTTGTCAGTCCAACAAAATTTTAGCCAGTCCTACAAAATCTGTCAATTTTATCCTGAAATAAAATTAATAACATATTTTATCGAAAAATAACTTTATTAATATTAGTTTTATTCTTCGCACCCACAGGAAAATTAACAATGAAGGACCAGTTCAGGTCTTCTGATTGTTCTTATTTAAAGTCATCTTCACTATCCATTTCATCATTTGAATCACTTTCTCGGCTGTTACAGTATTTGTTTGCTCCATTGTAGGGTTCAATCGCCGATTGTTTGCCAGAGATGGCTCTATGAACAAATTTAGAAGGCCACGTGTAGATCGCGGCTTTTGGTTTGTTTATAATAAATCCGTAAACCAGTACCGGAAATTGGCAGCGGGTACATCTGATAACCGATGTAAACACTTATTGGAAACAGTTGCGTTACATCTAATAACCGATGTAAAAAAGTGCTGAAATATGCACTACAATGGCCGTTTTTACATCGGTCATCGGGACCGGCACTAGCCTTCATAATACTGGTCCGAGCCTCATTTTGACCGACAGGACGGACCATTTTCGCGAGCTCTGCCCTGTAACGGCACGTACTAGTCAAAGTTGTGACTGAGTGCAGAAAAACAAAGATAGATAGATAGGACTAAAGTCCAAAGTGACTCAATATTTTTTATATGACAAGTAATTTGTTTATTATATTATAATGTTTATTTACAAATCTGTGTCCATTGGCCCTGATTCACCTTCGCCCTAGTACCTGTTGGCCCTAATACCTTTTCGCCTGGGTCAGTTCCCCTTTTTACCTATTCGCCCTTGGTTCGTTCGTCCTTAAATCCTTATTGTATAATTGTAAAATGTGTGTTATAGTGTGTTGAAAATGTTGAGTATTTATGTTGTATTGCAAGACAATTATTTTCTTTGATTTGAACTGAAGGAATACAAAGTACATTTATTTAATAGTTAACAACTCAAGACCAAGTTATCTGTATGTTTTTATCTTTTTTGATACATTTATATTTCTTGCTTAAATAATGATATGCCGCTTATAATAGGTGTGTAAAGTTATTATATTATATATAAACAATTGTTTATGAATTGATGAAGTGATTCAATAATTAACTTGCATGTATAACAAATTTTTAAAAACACGAGACCATAGGAGCCAAGCTGCAAAAATATATTCCCTTTCTTGTCTTACAATTTGTATATGCATTGTTTTTACCAGAGACAATACTTATAATGAAATTTTCAAATTTTATAACCAATCCGGTCAGTGTCATCAGCCAAAATGTTGAGAAAATGGGTGAGGGGTACAAAGAAATGATTGTACCAAAAATAAGTATATCCCATATCAATTTTTTCTTTTCAAAATTCTTATATATGTATTTTTTCAATCATTTATAACAAAGAAGTTGAAATAATATGCTTTTTGTTCTAAAAAAAAGAGAAAAATCCCAAATTGACAAAATTGACAGCATGGTCAATTTGACATGAAAAAGCAACAAAATTTTATAAAACTTTCTAATATTAACACCAACCTATAGTTCTTTTAAGTTAAATTTATTCAGATTGGTTCACTTTATCTTTACCATGTTCATGATGTTTACTATGAAAGCATGAAAAAAGTTTAATTGTGAAACTGTGATTTTTTTCATGATAATCATGATAATAGCTCAAAAGAAAAACGTTTAATTCTAGAAATTTTTGGCTCCTCAGAGGTGTACATCCTTAACCAGTTTACTTAAAACATAATTATTTTCATTATTAAACTACCACAGACAATTAGTTCAACAATCTTTAAGATCATAGACATTATAATTATATCTTTTTTTTTTGTTTTTTTTTTTTTTTGTTTTTTTTTTTTTTGGCGAATGATCTTTATTTAGCGACAATAACTTCTAAAAGCAATCAATTGATGGTTTCAGACTTCTTTTTTTTTTTTTTTTTTATTCAACAACAACTAATTGCACTTTCTGCTGTTAACAATGTACTTCACTAGTCCAGCATTCCAGTAAAGAGTCCCTGTTTGTTAATACCAGAAATCCAGGGTTGTTTCTGGTAAGCATCATTATATTAAATTAACATTAGTTTTAATTGAACAGTTAAATTATAAAATTATCAGCAATGAAATTAACAAGTATATATCAATGGTACTTATTTGTTTAACAATTTACTATATATATCATCTAGCAATAATTGATTTTTGGGTATTGTTTCCGGAAATTTTTCATATTTTCTCCGTAAACGTACGGGTGAATTGTTTTTCTATCAAACATCTTCCTGGTTTTGAAACAAATATTGTCACACCGGCCATGACTTAAAAAATAAAAAAATAAACAGATGTGATATAGCATATTCACAGGTATGTCTGAATTAAAAAATTTCTGTAGTATAAAGAAGATTAAGATTAAATAAATATTTCATTTTTTAATCTTCTTTTTGTAACGGTAAATAGTCTCGTTATCAATCATTTCAATCATCACATGTACATGTACAGTAGCGGTGAAAGGTAAAATTTATATTACTTGATCAGTTCCAGATGTGTAATTCGTAAAATTTATCTCTTTTATTAATTTATTCATCCATTTATTTTTGCTAGATCATATACTTCTCAAACAAAGAAATTATTTTAACAATTTGGCAGTTTTATCTAGAATACATTTATATTTTGTATTCTTACATTTTGCCTGCAGTTTGTAACTATACATAAATTCTGCTTTAAATACAGCATACACATTTATAGATTCTGTTTTCTGTTCAGACATGTAATTAGCTTTATATATACAAAACATTATTAATGTAATCAAATAATTGATTTCATAATATTGTTCATCATTAATTTTATAACCGAATACTAAATTCTTCAATGTTAGAATATTATTATCAATATTCAGTTTTTCAAGAAGATTTTTTATTTTACTTAAGAAGTCATCAAGAAAGTGACATTTCAAAAACATATGATCATAATCCTCAGTGGTATTGCAATAATGACAATTTGAAGTATTGCAGATATTCCACTGTTTTAATAAAGTTTTACAAGGTAGAATAAAGTGTAACAGTTTCCAACGAAACACTTTATACTTATTTTCTTTCAAATAATGATGAACAAATTTTAATATATTACATGTTGAACTATGAATATACTCAATTTTTAACACTGTTTTCCATCGGTTAAAACCAACAGGCATTTCAATCTCATTCTGAATAAATATATTATAAATTTTTTTAGTGTCTAAATTTTCTAATTTTTCTATATAATTACAATTATTCTTAATGTATAAAACATTATTTGTTTTTACTTTAGTTTTCTTTGAATTTTCTTGTTGTAAAATATTAAGCCATTCTTTTGGAAAGGCTTTCTTCAATTGAGAAAATTCTGACATCCAATTATATTTAATCCTGAGCTTTTGCAAAATATGTTTCTCCAATATGTTACCATTTTCATCTATAATGTCGTTTACATAGATGATATTGCTATTTATCCAGTTTTGAAATAAAAGACTTTTTTTTTTATCTTAATGAATTGATTTCCCCAAATTACTTGTTGACGAATAGATACAAAGTTTTTAGGCTGCTCTATTTTTTTGTTTTTTACCCATGCTTTTACTACATTCAAATAAAATTCTGGCAACTTATTTAAACCTGGAATTGAGTTAATACCATCAATGTTCATATGAAAGATAAGGAAGTTCTTGCCAAATTTATTAAAATAAAATAATGGTATAACTTTCCAGTTGGCTAAATCTCCATATATTAATCTTTTAATCCATCCAATTTTGATGGATTCTATGTATTTATCTATGTTAATCATTTTTAGACCACCATCTAGCAATTCATAGCTTAATACTTTACGTTTAACTTTATCTATTTTGCTTTTCCATAAAAATTGATAAATAATTTTTTTAAATTTATCAATATATTCTTTTTCTATGTGTGAAACAGATGCTAAAAAAGTAATATTGGGTAGAATCAGTGATTTGATAACTGTTATTTTTCCCAATAATGTTAGATTTCTTTTCTCCCAGTTTTTAATTATTTTCTCAGATTTTTCTAATTGTTTTTCAGCATTGAGTTTTTGACACACATTTTTATTACAACCAAAAAAAACTCCTAAACATTTCACTGGTTTGTCTGTAAAGTTGATGTTTTCGTATTTTTCTTTACAGTGTTTATGTTTTCCCAACCAAATGCCTTATGTTTTTAATCTGTTTAATTTAAGCCCTGATAATGTGCCAAAGATTTCAATCATATTTAAAACTTTTGAAATGTCTTTTTGTGTTTTTAGAAAAAGTGTCGTGTCATCTGCAAGTTGGCTGATTTTTAATGAATGTGTTTTCCCATCTATCTTAATTTCAAAGCCTTTAATATTATGGTCTTGCCTTATCTTACAGGCTAATATCTCTACTGCTATAACAAAAATTATCGCACTGCACGGACATCCTTGTCGGATTCCACGTTGAATGTTAATGGGTTCAGATATCCATCCATTATTTATTACTGCGCTTTTAATATCTGTGTATAAAGTCTTAATCCATTTAAGCATAGAATTTTGAAATCCAAATTTTTTAGAGCTGAAATCATAAAATCCCATTCTAAAGAGTCAAATGCTTTTGAGAAATCTAAAAATAGTAGTGCCCCCTCTATATTAAATCTTTCTGCATAATCAATTATATCCTGGATTTGTCTAATATTATAACCTATATATCTATTTTTAACATAGCCATTTTGATCTTTGTGAATAATTTTTGGTAGGATATTTTTAATGCGCTGAGCCAATGAATATGCAATTAATTTTGTATCAATATTTAATAAAGTTATGGGTCTATAATTATTTAAACAAAGCGGATCATTCTTTTTATGTATAAGAAAAATAACTCCTAATTTTTGAGAACTCGTTAACTCCCCTTTTTTATATGAATAATTAAATGTAGATACAGCAAATTCTTTTAATTCATCCCAAAAGGTTCTATAGAACTCAACACTTATTCCATCAATTCCTGGTGATTTGTTCAATTTCATCTTGAATAATGAATTCGTGCATTCTTCAATGGTTAAAGTACCTTCCATTATCTCACTTTCTTGTGTATTTAATTTATGATCAATATTTGTATCATTAATATAATTATCTATGGATTTCACATCTGGATTTGTACTATTATAAATATTTTGATAGAATTCTTTTTCTATTTGTAAAATTTTAGAAGATTCTGTCTGTACAACTCCTTTGTCATCTTTCAAGGCAGTTATAGTCTTTCTAGTTTGTCTAGCTTTTTCTAACCCCAAAAAAAATTTAGTATTTTTCTCTCCTTCTTCTACCCATTGTATCCTTGACCTTATTTGAGCTCCTTTACTTTTTATTTCATAAAGTTTTCTTAGTTTACATTCATTATAAATTAATTCTTCTTGAAAATGTTTAATAACATCATCTTTACAATTTTTGTTTATACTTTCATTTAATTTTTTAATCTTATTTTCCAATATGTGTATTTCACTTATATTTTGATTTGCTTTTCTTTTACAGTATGCAACAGTTTGTTCTCGAACTTCAATTTTGAACAGATCCCATTGTAGTCCTATATTATCAGTAAGTTTTGTTTTATTTGTATATTTCACAATAAGACCTTTTATTATTTTTTTGTATTCTATATTATCCAAGATACTATTATTAATTTTAAAATATCCTTTCCCTTTTGATTGTGATCTCCCTTTTACCTTTAGCGATATAGCTTGGTGATCTGTATGCGAAATAAGTGCAGGTCTTATATCTGCTGAATATATATGTGACCTTATTTCTGAACAAACAAGAAAGTAATCTATGCGTGAAGCTTCATTTATCTTATTTTTCCGTCTCCATGTAAATTGTATATTAGTACTATGTATATCTCTCCAAATGTCTATCAACTTATGTGTTTTGATTAACCCTTTTAAACTGTTGACTGGTTTTTGTTTTTTTTTATTTCTGCTATTTTTTTTGCTGTCAATATTAGATAGTGTATCATTCATATCTCCCCCAACTATGACCATCCCTAAACTGTTTTTCTGTATCATGTCATTTACTTTTTTGAAAAAGGCATTTCTATTTTTGGGAAGATTTGGTGCATAAATATTAACTAAAGTATATATACTTTCTGAAATTTCTATGTTGATCAAAATTATTCGCCCCTCCTCATCCTGAAATTTATCAATTAATTGATAATCCGTGTGATTGCTAATATAAATTGATACTCCTCTTGATTGTGAATTTCCATAACTGTGATATATATCACCTTTGAATTCATTTTTAAATTGTTTCTCTAAAGTAGAAGTGAAATGACTTTCTTGTACAAATAAAATATTACAGTGTTGATACTTCATCCACATATGAAGCCTTTGTCTTTTATCTTTTGAACCTAGACCTTGACAATTTAATGAACATATATGTATGTTTTCACTCATTGTTTGTCATAAATATCAAATTAAAAATGTAAAAGTTTTCTCATACATAATATAAACAGCATTTGTGTTTACAGCATGCACATACAGTTTGTATTAATATTAATATACACATTGTACATAACTTTGTCAATATTTTTACAATATTGTTGTAAGTAATCATTTTAACATGTTTAATATGAAAACTACACATTGTTTTGATATTATTTCATTATCTATTTTCAGACCGCATTTGGCCTTGACTTCCGTCAGACAATGACCCAGATTCGGATTAGCAAGTTGAAGTGATATGTCCGAACACCAGACGTTATCTAAAGAAAACAATTTCAATGATGGCTTTGTGATATACCGTATTCCAAGTATTAACCGAGAATGAAAAGTACTATTATTGGATTTACATACGGATATTAAGAAAACACGGATTGCTATAAATTGTGGTTCGTGTTCTAAAAATAGAATTGGGTTTTCCTTTTCTATACATTGCGAAGAAGTTTGAAATATATTACCACTCTGGATTATAAACGTGGCATATGTGACTGATGGATTTCTTTTCACATGGAATAATAATTGTTGGATATAGAAATTTCTTACAATATTAATATCAATGATGTTGTTTTTACCAAATATACATTCACAAATTGTAATGTTCTATTTATAGCGTACCATACTAACAGGTGATTGTTTGGAACATAAATCTTTTTTATGACATACATATGTTTGACATTCAAATAGTCATTATCTTTTGAATGTATGCAATCTGGCATTGCATCACATTCATTTTTTTTTGTTTTTTTTAATTAATAAAATAAAAATAATAAATGCTATGTACATATATTTATATTTGAACATTGTACTGTTTTAACTATTTAACACTTGTTTTGTAATAGATTTACATATGGTACTGGTCCTACGTTTTACTTGTCTTTTGTGCAGGACCTGTACGTTCTTGATACTCTTCTGTTGGGGTTGTTGCATTTCTCTTATCAGTTTTATTTCTTGGAGTTTGGTTCGTTCCTTGGAAATATTGGCTTATATCTCCTTGTGCCTTTTTTTGGTTATTAGTCAGTTTTTTTTTCTTTTTTTTTTTCTGTGAGCCATCGGTGGAAGTGTTAATATTTATATCTTCCAATACTGGGTCATGATTGTACGTATCATCTTTGTCTGTATTTGTATTGGTAGAAGTGGCAGTTTGATCTTTATTAAGTGGAGCGATAGTAGGTGATCTTGGTTTAGTTCCTTTTGGGGTTGGTTGCAGTATTGATTGTGATATCTGCACCGGATTTTCTGTTTCCGATTTATCCTCATCTGAATTATCGTCTTCTGTGTCGTCACTTTCACTTAGGTGCGAATCACACTCTGCTTGTCTGTGTCCTTGTTTGTTACAATGAAGACAAACCCAGTCATTTGGACACTGCGAAAATTTATGACCTTTCTGTAGACATTTATTGCATGAGATTTCAGCATGATTATGATTTTCTTGTCCTTGGTGAATAACTGTTGCTCTGTATTTACCAATAATTACAGATCTTGGTAAAGCTTTACTTAGAGGAGCTACCATTGCGATTCGGTCACCGGTTTGGCAATTTGATAACAGACCATCTACCCTCAACCGTTCTCTATACATATTAAAAACCTCACATCCGTGAAATTCTAAGCTTCGCTCAATCTGTCCATCCTCGGCGGAACAAGGAACATTTTTAACCCGTATTTTCAGGTAAGTTGGTCTTTCATTAACAATTATCCTTGGGTTTCTAGTGTAAACCTGGATATATTTGTTTCGAATTGTTATGCCTGATGTAATGAGGGATTCTCTATCGATCTCAGAATCAAAATAGATTCTCCATAAACCTCGAACACGCTGTAACCCTTTTAGATGGCTGGCTGGGCAGATTGTAGCATCGATGGTTTTGTATAGTTACCAAACAGGTCGCTTTCTAATATGAAAACTGGTTTTACATCTTCAACATCATAATTGTTTTTGGTGTTTTGTATTTGTAAGATAGAAGAATAGGTCTCACCCTTTTCAATGGTGTCCGCCATATTGTTTTTGTCTTGGTTTACCTCTGAGTTTTCACTTGATTTATTTGCAGTATTTGCAGAATTTGACATCTTACGATTGTAAAAAGTTTCCAACTTCTTAAACAAATTCGTCTGAACAAAAATCAATTATCTAATGACATCTGATACACATTAAATCGTACTTTTTGTGGGAGCCGTGACATAAACCGCCTTAGCAATTAAGCCCCTTACGACCTCATTATAATTATATCTAATCAATATTCTAAATTACAATCAACAGTAAATAATAAAAATAAACAAATGTAACAATGAAACCATTCATTGCTTGAACACAAGAAATTAATTTTGAATTATTTCCAAGATTTTTCATGAATTTTAAGATAGTTATATGTATTTTCTTTAAAATTAACCAAATAGATATCTGGATAGGTATAATCTTGATACCATAAATTTTTTTTAGGGCAATCAGACTCTATGGGCAAACGAACCTAGGGCGAACATGTAATTAGGGCGAACGGATCTGATTCCGTAAAATCCTAATTTACCGGAGTAACCAATGAAACCACCTCTTGAGTTTCTCTTGGATAAGGAAGACCTTCATAACCAGGTATTATCCCCCTTGTATTATCTCCATTTATGGGTATTATACGTCAAAACAGGTATCAATTTACAGTGAAATAAACAGGATTTCAGGTTCCTGTTTTGGCACAAACATTCATGTAAAAGGCAATAATTTGATCCAAGACACTATGATTGAAATGTCATCTGGTTTATTAAAACGTTGTCCTCCCCAATATAAAATTTATTGTAGGCCATTAACTTTTATTCAGTACTCATGTGAACAATGGTTTCAACATGGAAAATGTTGCCATTTACCTGCATGAATGTGTGCACCTTTAAAATGAAATGCAAAATTCTATTTTTTATTACTGTAAATTGGTCCCTTCTTTGGGTTTAATACTCATAAATTAGGATAATGACCGTTTATGAGGATCTTCCCCAACCTGTTGAATTATTTCAAATGTTGTCATCATGGGACCTTTTATAGTCTACTCTACAGTATTGGCTTTTGCTCATTGTTGAAGGCTGTAAGGTGACCTGTAAGTAAATGTTAATATCTTCATGGATTTGTAATGTCATCTCATTCTTGGTATTTCCAGACAATGCATATTTTTTTGAAGTTCAGTTCTTTTTTTATATGTGTCATTATTGGGTCCAGTTTTTACAAAATTGACATTTTTTGACAGTTGTAAATGCTGACTGAGGATACTTTTTAAAATTTCTATGTTCTACTGTTTATTTTGATTAATTTAGTTATATTTACTACAATTGAAACAAGTTTTGCAAATCTCTTAAAAAATGTTAAAGTGGTAAATCTTCACCTTTAACCAATTAATCCCATAACACTGTACTTTATTGGGCAGACTGTGATTTTAGTTGCCTGGTTGTTAACATTCATCTTCAGAGAAATACCAACAGTTCAGACGTGCTTAGCACTATATTGAACTTATTAATAGCACATTTGCAAATGAAGGATAAGATATTTTTTGTGTTTTTAGGAAAGACTGAAGATGTATAGTCTAGTCGTTGTAATGGTTTTAACAGGTGAGTTAATGATTAAGTTAATAACATTAACAGTACTATTTTTTCTGTAAGTAACCTGTTGTTGGGTTGCTGTCACTAAATTGGTAATTTTAAGAAAATTTTGCAGTTTTTGGTTATTATTTTGAATATTATTATAGATAGAGATAAACTGTAAACAGCAATAATGTTCAGCAAAGTAAGATCTACAATCAAGTCAACTTGACCAAAATGGTCAGTTGACCCCTTAAGGAGTTATTGCCGTTTATAGTTAATTTTTAACCATTTTTCGTAAATTTATGTAATTTTTTACAAAAATCTTCTCCTCTGAAACTACTAAGACAAATTTAACCAAACTTGTCCACAATCATCATTAGGGTATCTAGTTTAAAAAATGTGTCCGATGACCCCGCCCACGAACCAAGATGGCCGACATGGCTAAAAAATAGTACATAGAGTAGAATGCAGTTTTTGGCTCATATCTCTGAAACCAAAGCATTTAGAGCAGTGACAAGTAGAAAATTGTTCATTAGGTCAAGATCTATCTGCCCTGAAATTTTCAGACCAATCAGGCAACACGTTGTTGGGTTGTGCCCCTGAATTGGTAATTTTAAGAAAATTTTGCAGCTTTTGGTTATTATCTTGAATATTATTATAGATAGAGATAAACTGTAAACAGCAATAATGTTCAGCAAAGTAAGATCTACAATCAAGTCAACTTGACCAAAATTGTCAATTGACCCCTTAAGGAGTTATTGCCCTTTATAGTCAATTTTTTACAATTTTCATAATTTTTGTAAATTTTTGTAAATTTTTACAAAATATTTTCCACTGTATCTACTGGGCCAAGTTCATTATAGATAGAGATATTTGTAAGCAGCAAGAATGTTTAGTAAAGTAAGATCTACAAACACATCACCATCACCAAAACACAATTTTGTCATGAATCCATCTGTGTCCTTTGTTTAATATGCACATAGACCAAGGTGAGCGACACAGGCTCTTTAGAGCCTCTAGTTATGTAGTTAGCCACAAAATCTACATGGTAGCTTATCTTGGCTGTGTGCGTTATAGTGGAGAATAATTGAGGACACTCACCATGTATGTAGAAAAATACATGAGAATATTATAAATAGTAGAAATAGTATTTCTAATTGATGATAAAGCCATCTTGAAATATGTATATATATATTTCATAGATAAATAGTTCAAATAAGCTCTTTCTTGTTTGTCTTATGCACATAGCATGCACTCAAGACTGGCCAGTAAAATCCAAATGAAATTTGCCCATTGGATATTGGGCAATTTAATGTTTTAGCTGAGTTATGAGTTAGTGTAAATTAGCTTATAATGAAATAAAGATTGAATGTAATTGTGTCTGCATGTAATAAACAAAACATTTTCATTTAGCCAAACTTGGTTGCATAATGTCCCATGAGGTGAAGAAAACTTGACTGATCTTGTGGTGATTTGGTTAAAAGTCAAGATAGACTTCATCTGAAAATAGAGTGGGAATTGCCAAAAATACCACAGACCACTTCAACCATCAATCCCTGACTCCTACAAAAAAAAACAGACAAACAAACAAAAACAAATTTTCAGTAAACACTAGAACCAGTACCAAGTCTTAATAATTTATTTTATTGTAGCACCTGTGTTTGATGCAAACAATGATGGTGACTTAAGGAGCCGTCTGAGTCAGGGGATCGTTGAGGGAACAACAGTTGGTATGTAATAATATTATACTGGATTAAATATCCCTGTAAATCCTGCAATTCAATTGGTTACCTGTGAAGGAATACAAAGATAAAAATGATAATTAGTGATGAAATCAGGACATTCCAGTATAATATAATTGTTATTGGGGCTTCACAGAGATTATGGGCTCATATTCCCTGTGAAGTTTCCAAACAACATATAGTATTCCAATAGTACTACGGCAATTCTCACTCAGAGCATTGTTAAACAGACAACAGTTGTTAGTTACAATAGTCAGAATCATGTCATAACGTATGAGTGAAGATATTGTTTCAGTATAAAATTTATAATAATTCAGTCATTAATGTAAAAACAAGAGTCAGTATGTAACAATAGTCCAATTATAATAATTATATGTCATGGTTGAAGGAATATCAATAGGTATATTATATTAATGAAATAAAAATGATTCTGAGTCAAGACATGATGGCAGAAACACTTAAGTGAGTGTGTTATAATAATTAATTTATTTTGATTGATTGTTGGTTGCTTAACATAGTGGCAAATATTTCATGCATGTTCAGGACGAGAACAAATTAGCAATAAAT